ATGTCAATGATGAGATGGGGACGTCCAATGGGGGTCCTCGGGGGTGGGGAGTACGCCCTTTGGTAGTTATTGAAGCATTGCTCATGTGTCCCGTGTGCCCTTGGTTAGTTCTCCTTAGAGAATTGATGCAAATTCCTGAGTCTGGCCCCACCCAGCCTCTTCAGCTTCACACCAATGACCCTATTTCTCTCTATCCCATGTACTCAACTGTGGCCACCCTCCATGAAATAACATGACAGAGCAGAAACCAGGAGGGACTGCCCAAACGTGCATCATTGTGTTTGAACTTCTCTCATAAGGTTAGCCTGCTTCAGACACTTCATTACAGTAGCAAAGACACTGACTACTAGTACAGCCCTTTCCACAAATAGTGTCACGTTGAGATGTAATTTTTAATGTCAAGGACTATCAGCCTTTCTCTGTAACATTAGCTTTCAAAGTACTAAAAACATATCAATGTATTATACAAGCTTTTCTATCAGATAAATAAAAATTACAGTGGAAACCATCTTGTGAATAATGTACAGGATTATGCTGGTTTCAGCTTCACTATTTTCATCTTGTATTGAAAGTACACATTTTAAAAGATATGAGGATAAAAATCGTTTAAAACTACAGTACTCACAAGGGGAGAACGTGTTCAGCAAAGAAATAAATTAGCTGAATGACAGGAAGATGAGCGGCTCTGCCACGCTCACGTGTTCCCCAGATCTGTCCCCAGCGCTCCTCACTCACCCTGATCTGTGTTGAAGGGGGAAAAATGACATATTTATTGATTGAAAAGCCAGATGTGATCTTTAATTATGTGAAGTACAAAGTACTCAGTGAACTCTCAAATTGACAGCCACTGGTTAGGAAATGTCATAATGTTGAATCACGTTCTAAAAGATTCTATTGTAACTGAGTTTTATTTGTCAAGTTCACCCTTGGAGAGAAACATCGATTCCCCACAGTCTTCCTGGGAGCCACAGCATAGAAACATCGACAAAGCACACTGCTCTCTTCTAAGGCAGGATCCGCCTCCTCTGAAAGCCTCTGGTCCGCCTGACTGTAGGCTGCATTTCTCTGCTTGGAAAACATCCTTAGCCAACTTTCTCTTCTTCTCAATGCTTGTTTGTCCCTTTCAGTTCTGAGAATCAACCCAGGACTTTATGATGGTGAGGAAGCTGCTCTCCCACTGAGATACATCTCCAGCCTTAATACTTTCTGAATGAACTGCTATCTAGAATCAAGCAATAGTCTCCTTTTTTGGCATTGCTTTTCGGCTCTGACACCACGGCTCTGAAATCAGATCTCAGGGTCTTAGAGAAGAAGATGTTAAGCTCTAAGACAATGGGGTCATGTCACCAGTAGGTAGGCAAGGAAGAAAACATCAAAATGCTTTACAAGACGTGGATGTTACCTTTCGTTTGAATGAACAGATAAAACAGTCTTTGAATGCTCTTAATTGGCTCTTTTTAGTCCTATATCTAGATTATATTTCTTTATCAGATTGAAAAGATCAAAGAAACTCCTTCAGGCGCTTTTCTCATCATTGCTGTTTCAAAACCAGCAAAAGCACCTTTGCCAAGTTGCCATGGATTCAGGAAAGCTTAGAGGGGAAATGCACAGCGCTGCTTTACTCTGTCAACAAACACCCCTATAAGCCCACCCTTCCTCTCCACTGTGCTTTGTATTTCCCAGTACACTCCTGCTGATCTGGGCCTGTTGCACTGGGGCAGACCAGTGCATTTTGCTGATGGAGTGGACCTTCATAGACATACACAGAAACTCCAAGCTGGGTTCTGTGATGTCATCACAGATGTCACCACTGGCACTGGCAATAGAAAAGGGTACTACCTTGCAGCTGTAAAGTGGTCTGTTAAAAAGACAGAAAGAGGCAGGGCCCTTTGTGGGAGTTCTATCTCCCACTTAGAAATGCTGGTGTGGCCCTCCAGATGTTGATATGGCAACAGTTGTTGATAAGGCCCAGCTCTGTGGTATCTACCTAGTCAACCATGCATTTGCAAGAGGAGAGCCTCAAACAATGAAAGGTCTCCCACAAAGTGGGCAGCTATGGCCTTGGCATTTCAGGGTATCCAATGAAACAGCCCATTAAGCAGTGAAACATGTTACCCCCTCCTGAGAAGGTGAAGCATACAACACACCCCAAGCCATCCTAGCTCCAGCCAGGGACTACAAGGGTATGAAAGATTTTGTCCCCAGGGAAAGGTCTCAAACCAAGACCTCCTTTGTCTTTCTTTTTTCTGCCTTCTAAAGTTTTCACTGTGTTCAGTATATTCATTAAGGACATTTCGTACAAGCATATGCTGTAAGTCGAGGACACTCCCTCCTATGAGTCTCCCTTGATCCTTACGTTCACTTTTACTTTCATGTCATAAACACATATATTTTATTTACATGAAAACGAGGAACAAGAGATGAAAGAAAACATGGTACTTATCTTTCTAAAATTGGCTTTACTTACTTAATATGATTGTCTAGTCAGTTGGATCTGTTTTCCCACAAATGACTTAAGTCCATCCTTTAGAATGAAAACGAAATACTCCATGGCTAGGTAGCACATTTTCTTTATCTATTCCTTTGTTGTTGGACGCCTAGGTTGATTCCCTAATTTAGCTGCAGAACACTGATATGCAAGCGTCTCTCTGATGTGTTGATTTTGAGTCCTTTGGAGAAATACTCCGGAGTGGAACAGCTAGTTCATGTTCCTATTTTCCGACTTTGGAGAAGCCTCCATGTGATAGCCATGGTGGACTGCTTGGCCTTCCCACCAGTGGTGTGTATGGCTCCCTCTGTGAACTACCCCTCACTGTTCTTTGCCTGTATAGCTCTTTTCAAAGTTCACTTGCTTTAGTTCAGAAGCGGTTATCTATGAGGAAGGGTGATGGATGGCATGAGCATGGGGAGAGGACATAAACTCCACATGCTGATCCATCTTCTGTTCATGAGAGTAGACAGACAGGAAGGCTTGAGGAACGTGCAGCCTAAGAAAACTCCAGGCCTCCTTTTGCTCTTAAGGATTTGGAAAGTTTAAATTCCCTTACTGACCCAGAATTAGTCCCGATAGTGAGACAGTAACCTTAGCAATGTGGGATGCAGCTACTTCACAAACAGGCAAAGAGCCAAACATCGTTTCCAGGGGTCTTATGGGGCAGGTCAAACACAAACATTTTCTATATTGAATTACGTGAGCTTACAATTAGATGAATCAATTGAAATTTTTTAAAGATAATAAACACACAGAATTCTTATTACTGAATTATTTAGATGCATTTTCCAGTCAGCTGTGCTCCTGGGGTCCAGCTACCTACCTTGTGTGCATAACTGAGATGACAGAAGACAGAATGTTATGACACATCTCTCCTGAGCAAAGACACCGTACCTGTGACTGAAATCTGCATAACAGGAGGAGTTACTCCATGAAAACCAGTGAAACCGAAAGTCGGAGTCTGATTAATTTGCATTATCTGGGCTTTTAAAAGGGATGGTGAAACCCTTAATAATGCAGATTATAAAAAGATAAAGTGGGTTAAAAATAATGCAGTTTTTTAAAAAGTAGTATAGCCAATGTGTGGCCAAGTTTTCTAAATAACACAAGACTTTAAATTTACTTTCCTAGTACTTGAAAATTGTTTGATTTCAGCAAAGGTGCTACTTTTCAACAAATGGGTGACATTCTACACACACAGAGCTAAAACAGAGTGTTTCTGCCTAATGATGGAACACTTGTCTTCCACATCCAAGGCCCCAGGCTCCATCCACAAAAACTGAGAACAGTACAAGAAAACACAAATGCACTAATCTAAATAAACATTTTATACCACATATATCTAAATACACAAATTATTAACCATTTCTGTATTTTCTTGAAAAGTCTTATTTCAATTTTAAGGCCATATATACAGTTTGTATATATAAATATGTATCTATGTGCATATGTTCTTTTAGGTGAACTATTCCAAGTTAATGATAGGCATCATATCCCTCCTGCTGACTGTAGTGTGTATATCCTAAAAATAGTTTCAGATAGGACTTAATACTTAATACTCAGGGAACTTACCATTTCTAAATAGCACTGGATGACCCATTTCAAATTTCTCTGTTATCCTCAGTCATATCCTTCATGGATTTTACCATTACTGGTCATGATGATGACAGTGATGATGGTGAGGGTGGGGTTAGATTAACCCAAAATTCAGTCAAGGATTGAATACGTTGACTTAAACATCAACCTTGAATTTTGCCCACTCCATGAGTGACCTCCGGTCAGGACCATGAGTGACTTCCATGTTCCACCACACCACATTCCATAGTCACTTGCTTGGCTGTCAGAAGCCTTCGGACTTGGCTGAACACAGCCTTCTCTACTTTCCCACTTATTTCCAGGACACCACAAGTGCCTCTCTCCTCTAAACAAGCCAGCCATTCCTTATCACTCCCCAGTCTCTTAATGGCGCTGTCCTTGGCTCCTTCCCTCTACACCCCATTAATATTCTCAGGCAGTCTCCTGGATTTGCAATATGCCAGTGACTCCCACTTTTATATCACTGGCCAATCATTCTCACTTAAATTTCAAACTCATAGGATCCAATTATTTTCTGAACACAGAATATCAGTGAGAAAGTGACAAAGGAAAAAATGGGGAGAACTTTTCTCTTCATTTCAGTGGGGAGAACTGAACTTCTTACTCTTCATTTGTATTTATCTTGGTCCTGATTCAAGGAGGGGGAGGACTTCTCATGAGCCTGTGAGATATCTCTGCAGGTGACGGCTCTGGCCATCAAGACTGACTAGCTATTTTCAATCCCAGAAACCCATACAGTGGAAAGGAAAGAAACAACTCCTACAAGCTGTCCTGTGACCTCCACATGTATGCTATCTCTCTCTCTCTCTCTCTCTCTCTCTCTCTCATACACACACACACACACACACACACACACACACACACACATACACACACACAAATCAGTGTAAAAAATTAAAAAGAAAATTCAATCTTGATCAATAAATTTGATTCTAATTAGAATCAATAGGTGAGGTTATTTTGAAATTATACAACCAGTAAAGTTCATATAAAGGAATAAATGCCAAAATGACAAGAAAATGGCAGCACAGGCTTCCTAAACCATGTGCTCAACTTAAAATTCTAGAAACTTCCAATTCCTGGCCCTTTACCATCAACCCATGCACCCTTCACGCCAGTGCCCAGAAGAGAACATGTTAGCACCCAGATCACACATCTGTTCCCCTGGGGACATTCCTTAGGACAAAATAAACCTGCTATTCAAACATATCAGAGAGTCTGGATCCTTGGGAAAACATCTGTCCAGTGCTGGTTACATCTGTGGATCCTGTATTTCAGCTCCTGAATACCTCCAAAGTCCAACAGTTACAGACATTCCCCATTCTGGAACATTCTGAGTTCCCACTGCCCATGGCTCTGCATGCTAGCCCCGTACAGCATAGAGATACTGTGCAATAGGTGGCCTTCCCAAAGCACCTAAGGATATTTGTCTCCCTCCAAGATCTCTCTAGGAAACTTAAGAGAAGGATTTGCCTTTTGGCCTCTAAACCTCTGGTTAGGGGTTTTGAGAAATAAGCGAATAACCCACAATCACGTTACTCCTGTTTCTATCATCACCTAAAATATATATATATATATATATCAACGCTTTCTACAGTGCTCGTGTTCACCAATGTCTTTCATTTTTTTCCAGTTACTGGACCATTCCCCCACATTTTGCCTAAAGCTCTGTTCCATGGGAAGCGATAGTGATCAAGCTAAGTGCAGGAAGCTTTCAGGATGTCATGTGGCGTACTGGAGCCTGCCGCTTTTCTTCTTCATACACTCAAGACAGAAGGGATGGGAGCCTGGGCGTCACTGAGGCACTGTGGTAGGTATGTGGCCTACCCAGCATGAGCTCATTTCCTGTGTTGGAAGAGATGGGATTTACAGAGCTGAATTTCTCTAATGAAATCATCTCACTGTGAGGGACAAGTCACTGAGATCACAGATTCTCCTGGAGCAGGACGGTCTTCAAACAAAGAGCTCCACAAACGCAGAACGTTTGAAGAGACAAAGGGGTCAGAGGTCAAGAGCTGCACCTGGATTCCATAGGTTTCCAGAAGAAGGCGCTGGGTCATAACACTCAACCAAAGAAGAAACAGACATCACTCATTTAATCATCCTAGATTCTAACACATCGTAGAAAGCACTAGATATGAATGGAAGTAAGAACCAGTCTGTCCAGGCCTGGAGAGGTGATACTCAGCTGTACAAAGCCCATACTGCTTCTTCAGGGGACACAAGTTTAGTTTCCAGCACCCACATTGGGTGGAAGCTCATGACTGTCTGAAACTCAGCTCCAGGGATCCAGTGGCTTCTTCTGGCCTCCATGGGCCCCTGCACTCAGATGTGCAGACCTAGGCACAGGCACAGACATACAAATGCAATTTAAAAATCAGGTAATAATAAAGACAACATACCATTTAAAAAGGACCAGTCCTACAGATGGATGTCCCTTCTCAAGTGCAATTGACTCTAACATTTACTGTCATGTTTTTGTTTTGTTTTGTTTGTTGTTTGTTTGTTTGGTCAGATAAAAGTCTTTGGTGAGAGTAATGACAGTAAACCTACTCTTAAAACCCATTGACTGGAAATGTTTATGTCTGAATAACACATAGATTCCCTGCAGGAAGTGAGTCAGTTCCCGGGCAGGGAAGCCCTGGGTTACATAGATGAACGATGCAAAATGAGAAGGGAATTTTATGTAGTTCTGCACAGGCAGGATTTGTATCATCTTGCACTAAAATTGGCATACATGCTGCAGCATTCAAACACCCAACCCATTACCTACCTGATGCTCACACTCCGTATATGTTGTCACACATCCCTGTCTCTGTGACATTACAAAGCACCACGAGAATCATCGTCCCACCTGGTCATTATAGGGACCCTGTACCATGAGCATCGTTAACAGTTGGGTGAGTTAAGAGCCTGGTGTCAGGGAATGTATCTGACAGCGGAGTCCAAGTGGTGGAAGAGGACTCCTTGGACTTTGACGTCATCCTTCCAACTCCAGCCCCACTTTGATAAAGGTTATGTCTGATCTCCTAATATGTTTTGATCATATTTCCCTTGCCATCCATTGTGAGGCTGCATTTATTTTATAGATGATTTTTCATACGAGAAACTCAAGTTCAGGAAGACGCATCACTTGTCCACGGTCACAGAGCTTGGGAGAATTGGATCCAGAACTAAACCAGAAGTCTACAGAGCTCTAAAGTCCATGCTTCTGACTCCTCGCCTCACACCTGACAGGATGTGTGTGATTTGCAGAAAACCATGGAGCAATTCCTCAGACAGAACTTAATGGCTCTCCCTCCACTTGGGGAGCCTATTTATCCACCTCACCCCCCTCAGGTGTCACATCTGTGCTCTGAGATACAGATCCTTATCTTGATTGTACTAAAAATGAGGTCGAATGTTAAAGAGCAGACTGAAGGCAGAGCTGGAATTTGAATCTAGGATTCTAGCACTTTCTACTCTTCCATACCATCCACCCTAGCTACTGTAGACAGGCATTAGGCAGAGGGAAAAAAATTAATAATTGATAATAAAACCATTCATCAACTATAAATAAGCATGGTAACATATTATTGTTGGTATTATTGTTATTTTAATTATTAACCTCAGATGTTATTTTATAAATTATGTATTATTAATATAAAATATTGATGCACTTTAATTATACATTGAGCTAAAAAAGACTAAGCAGTTTAGCTAAAACAGCCTTGCAAAGAAACAAGACCTGGGTCTTCTAGTTTCATTTCTGTTTCTGTGATTAAAAAAAAAAATACTTGACACAAAAACAACTTGAGGAAAAGGGCATTTATTGCAGCTCACAATGTTAGGTTATAGGCTGTCATAATGGCAGATGCTTGAAGCAGCTGGTCACACCACAGTCACACCACAGAGAGAAATGACTGCTCAGTGCTCAGCTTTCTGCACTCTTATACAGTCCATGGTCCCAAAACAGGGAATGGTACCGCCCACTTTCAGGATGGGTGTCCCCACGTCAGTCAGGGCAATTAAGACAATCCCCCCTAGACATGCCCATAAGCCAACTTCATCTAAACAGTCCCTCACTGAAACTCACTGTCAAACTGACAATTAAAATTGAGCATCATGGGTCTTTCCCCCGAGTTCTAAGCTTAGTCCAACCTTAGTCCAGTCTCCTCCTTACTTCCAGTTATGACTCAATTACCATTGATATACTGATGTCTCTCCTTCCTGGGCAATAAAAAGTGATGCTCTCCAGCTGCCATTTTAAGTAAGTTCACTCAGTAAAGGATCCTTTTCCTCCCTTCTACCCAACATTTCCATTGTAGAATTATGCCCTGGCTTCCATATTTATAAGGAATTGCCGTGTCTTTTCCAATCATGAAAGCAAAGCAGCATTTGGAAAGTCCGTGTCCATTCTCAGTGGCTACTTAGGAGATATGGAATTACAATAAGCTTTGTTTAATGTTTATATTACAATGTGCAAGCCACTTTCAGACAACGCTGTGGTAACTGTCACAGTTCATAAGATACTGCTCCTTCACACCATCATCCATTCAGCACACGTCCTGACCACTCCTTTCACAGTGAAGAACACTAGTAACTTAGCACACTGGAATTTTAGCTCTCAACCCCATCTTCAGAATCAACCCAGGCTGTCGTGAAGCTTCCAGGAATTGTACAGTCTATCAATAAGGCTCTCAGAGCAAATAAAATGACAGAGTGCTCAGGGGTGTTTTTTTTTTTTTCTTTTCTTTCCCATGGGAGCATGTCTTTCAACGGATGTCAGACTTATCAGGATACTTCCAACTCCATGGCTGATAAGAGGTGTCTGAAAAATAAAAATCTTTTCTTTGTTCTCTTAGGCACAAACAACTCCAGTCATAAGGAACATTCGCCTCTGCTGCTTGCCTATAGGTCACCTAGCTAAGCTTGTCTACCATTTCTAGGCCCTGTAGTAACCCAGTTCAACCACACTTCATATTGTAGGAAGTGCCTTTGTGGGCACCTGTCTTCTTCCAACATGCTTATTCAGGTTTTATATGATTACTTGAGATAATGAAATCATATGTGCTCACAGTAGCCGACGTTCATACTGATATGTTCCATGTTCTCTGCTTAGGGTGAGACAACTCAGTCACAAACTCTAATGATGACTTTCAAACTCCATTCAGTTTTGAAGAACAGCGAGCATTTCTATTTCCTTTTCTCCTATGGCAAAAAACCTGCCTATCCTCATAGCACAAGGAAAATCCATTTCTCTGTCCTCACTGTCCCCACATCCCTTAATTCTTGATTTGTTTGAGAATTCACTTTGTCCACTTAAACCTCTGCTTCTCCAGACCATGTGTTCCCCCATAAGCAGACCAACGACCACATTTATTTCATTTCACATATTTCCATCATCAAATCCAGTGTCAGAGATCCCAAATTGTTCAAATGTATTCATGTTTAATTCGCTACTAATTAATCTGACCCTGGGACTTCATTCTTATTTTATTGTGACCAGTAAAGTGAAATCTGAAAACCAACTACATACTTTAGGTCATGAGTTCATAGAATTGGCACTGTCTAGATTTCTCATTGTCTAAGTGCCTATATCTCATGAGCAGTGAACACAACCCTGGTTCTGGAGGAAAAGTCAGCAGGCAGTGAAAAGCCACTTTGAGTTCTAGAGTTCATGATAAGGTTTCTCCAACCTCTGCTTTGAGAATGCCTGTGGATGAACCCTACTAGGACTCAGGAAAGCCCCCTGTGTTCTCTCCTTCACCCTAACATGGATGCCCTGAGTCACTGGCTCATGGGAAATCTTTTTCTCCATCAAAATGTGCTGACCACAGCCTGTCTCTTGGCATGGATGCCTCTCTAGGCTCAACAACCTCTCTCTCCAACAATGACGTCTGCTCGTTCCCACTGGTGTCACATGAAGATGATCAATCGTCCCCAGGCTCACTGGGCTATGAAAACTCAGCTTGGCATGGGGAACACCCCACTCTTCCAACTCCCAGTCACAAGCCTGTTTGGCTGCCAAGCTTACCCCTTTCATTTATTCATCACCCCTTTCCCATTCTCTCTTCTCTGTGACCCTTTGCAGAGGTTCAGAGTCAGGACCAAGGGAAAAGAATAAAAGAACCCATGCAAGCATTTTATAATCACTCACAAGTTGACAACTTTGGTCTCCAACCATGTTCCAGAAGGAAATCTTGTCACTTAGTAAAGAGGAAGTATGAACTTTAAAATAACAATAATATTAAAAGGGAAAAGAATTTGCAAGTAAAATAAAAATTGAGATGAAAACATAACAATTATGATCCTAATAGGTCAATTTGCTAGAAATGCCTCAAAAGTGTTTTTTTTTAAACAAGCTGGTATTTTCAAAACAAAACAAAAAAAAACAAGAAATGAAAAAGATTCATCTTCAAGGAAGCAAGAGATAATGTGGGGTGCTTTGAATCATAGAAACCATAATGACACCCTCTATTTACTCCAGAACGCTTGTTAATTCATACGAAAGGGGACTTCTAAAGGTAGAGCAGAGAAAGGATGTTACTTAACTGCTGTCATTTTAGAATGTACAAAAGAGGACTTCAGGAGCTATTACAGACAGTTTAGGAGAACACCCAGTTTCAGATCCAACAAAGAGGCAAAAAGAGTGGTCTGTGGAGACAAGGCGGTGCGTTTACCTTTGATCCATCGCTTGTTGGAGAATGTGGCTTGCGCATGCAGACAATGAGCCTTTTATGACGGACCGAGTCCCAGAAGTGGGTGCATGGAAGTCTGAGAAAACATACCCCTCCACCTGTGGGAGCCTGCCCTGTGAAACTTACAGCATGAAAGATCAGGATGGAATGTGTTTCTAAGCAGTCAGATCCCCTCTACACATACACACACACACACACACACACACACACATACACACACACACACACACACACACACACACACGGGGAAGGGATAACTGCTTTCTCATCGTGTTCATCACAAATTTCACTTCCATATCCCAAATTTCTTTATCTCAAATTTATTCTTCAGTAAGTTATTTCATATTGCAGATTTAAGACGACTAATAGAAATCCTCCAAAAGAAAAATAAATACCCAAGTCAGGGAAGATTAGCCCCTATGCATATTACCATTCACCCCATATCTGCTGACTGCTTCCTTGGGAACAAATTTTGTCTTTGGTATTGAAGAGAAGGGCAGTGCAAGAGGTGGAAGTTAATATCTGTTGCACGCCTACAAAGCTCAGGGCACTGAGTTACACATAGCGTACGTCTTTTTGCTTCACCCACTCAATTCTGAGAGAAAAGTACTAGTGCCCCCTCTTCTCCTTTTCACAAGAGAAGAAACTAAAGCTTGGCAGGACTGTACGGGGAAAGACAAAAAAGTTTATCATCAGTTCCAATGCAGAATAAACACAAATGAAATCACTGTAAGGGTGCAGCAATACTAATTGTCCCTACCGGATCCAAAGTAAGTGGAAGAAGAGTCAATACCATGATCTGGAGAATGAGGATGCGACATGGGAATCAACAGCCAGCTGAGCCACAAGCAGAGTGGAAGCCCTCATTATGGTGGTGAATACGTGCTTAGAGCTAGACGTGGGTGTGGGCCACGAACAGCCAAGAAGCTCCAAAGATAAGAGAGGAAGTCAAAAACCTCTGAATGGGTCAAGTCAGTGATACAGCTTTGATAGCTAGAGGGAATGCTCTCTAAAGGGCTACTCCATTCAGGGCGTTATCAGCAACTTATACTCCAAAAAGGTCGGAGAAGAAAGGAAGCTCAGTGTGAGAAAGGGACAGGGTGGGGCAAGGGGGAAATGGATGCAGAAGGGTTCCCCTCTTTGTCTTTTTCACTCTGTAAACTGTGTATTTATACTTCCGTGTCCTCCATTACACAGGGCGGCATTCAGCAGCAGAATAAGCCTGCACTGTTTGCACGGTTCAAATCTTCATGCTAAACAATTGCTCACTTGGGACCTGACAGACCTCCTCTGCAGCCATTCAAGAAGGGAAGGGCTGGGTCAATCAAACGTTTGGCTGTTGTATAAGACCATAATATCCGGTTTTTTGAAAAGGGAATAAATAAAAGGAAGACTTGATTACTTTAGGAAAAAAATTAACTAGCCCTTAATAACCCCATAAGTCTAGTAATACTATTACTGCATACTGAAGGACTTTGTGTAGAAATAAGTATGGCAGCCATCATGGAGTCATTCAAACCACAAAGATATTTCACATGTGAAATCATAGAGGGGGTGTCTCTAATTTTATTGATAAAGGAACTAAACTTTAATTCAGAGACTTGGGAGTCATTTATATGTTGTGACCTGTCTTAAAGATTCAGGGTTCCCCAACATCAAAAATAATCATTTATTTTAATGAATTAATTTAATAATAACAACGTCATTCTTTTATCATGTATGTAAATAAACATGAGAAAAGGAGACCTAGGAAACACTGGAATGTCTCTTGAATACCTTTGACCTCATGTTTTTCCTATTTTCTGAGAAACATTTAGCAGCTACCAAAACAACCAAATCTTTGGGCGGTGTTCCATTATTGTTCCTTGTGCATCCATAAGAGAAAGATATTTTATATTTTCCTTCTATCCGGAGTTAAAAGGGTAGTAGGTCAATGTTATGCTGATACTGATGCGAATCATTCGCCCGTGTCTGAGGTGTAAATAATCCCAACACTGTCAAACCATGTCGTGCATGTATGAGTGTGTGTGTATGTGTGTGAGAGAGAGTGTGTGTATGTGCATGCATGTTTGCGTGTGTGTGTGTGTGTGTGTGTGTGTGTGTGTGTGTGTGTGTGTGTGCTTGCACATGCACATTATGGTATATATGGATCCTAGAGGACAACTTTCAGGAATCAGTTCTCTCCTTCCACAGTGAGTTGCAGGGAGCAAAGTCAGACTTGGTGGCAATCACTGTCACCCACGGGAGCCATCGCACCCGCCCATTTTAATCCCATGGCACAACTTCAGTGGACCTAGGGGCAAGTTGTTCCTTGTCTCACATGTTGGTTTTATTTACCATAATTCAAAATTTCAACCTGTTTCATGAGACACAAAACCCAAAGAATCTGAGCTTCGTTACTAATTGAGCTAACTTGCTCCCACAGCTGGCAGACACTGTCTTTTGCATCCTTCTGAGACACCCATCTCTGCCAAAGCTGGTACATCTGAACAGCCCCTCCATGCTTCTTCACTTCCTGCTTCCTATCTTACACAAAGGAGCCACCATTTTAAGCCTTACCCATCTGTGGTCCCTTAGGAAACAACACAGCATCCTTGTACATTTAGAAGCAGCCATTAGATGTAGAGAATTAAGTTCTCACCTGAAATCATTTCACGACTGTTTCCTTTTTTACCATTATCTGACCCAAACCATGACTCTAATACTAAACAAATTCCCACATAATCCCCTGAAGACAGCACATCACCAAATTTTTGTAAAAAGATACAATTGCCATATGCACCATATTGATACTGAGAAATGCAGTAAGGCAGTCCTGGAGCTATGAGCCTCTCCCTCCGAACAGGCTGATACCCTAGTCATGTGACCTCCAGCAAAGCCAACCCCTCACTCTAGGAAATTTGAATGCTGTAGCTATCCCAGGTTTGGGGAAGAAATGATCCTGCCATTGATGTCAAAGGGGAAAGAAATTGCCTTCTCATCATTGAGACTTGGGATTATTTACTAAATAAAAAGTGTTTTCTTTACAGTAGCCTCTTGGGAAGATCAGAGGAAAGCATACCCAAAAAGTCTGGGTGTAGACTGCCCTCCATCGTGGTCCACTTGAGGTTGGCAGTTTCATTACATTTTCTGATTTTAACTTCTTCTTTCTAGGGGAAGACACACGTATGGATTCCAGGGATCAAAGTTGGGTCACCAGACTTGGTGGCAAGCACCTTTAGCTGGTGAGCCGTCTCGTCGGCCCTTACATTTTATTTCTCTTCACCCATCAAATACACTGAACTTGGATCTTGACAAAAGACCAAAATTTACCATTATTAAAGATGCTCAGAAGCACTCCAGGCAGCAGTATGTCCCCATACGCCTCTCTACCAGCCCATCCCCCACAGAGCCCCAACACCATCCTGAGAACAAGCTGCTTTTCATATATGAAGCTCTTGCTGTTCCCTGTTGCCCAGGTATTTTTAAAGAAGTAACTAGTGGCTGAGGACATAGAGTTGGTAAAGTGTTCACCTAACACGTACAAAACCCTAAATTCAATCCTCAGCACCCAGAACCACATAAATCTGGGCATTGCTGCACACACCTTTTAGCCCAGCACTATAATGAGCAATGGAGGCTGAAGGATTAGGAGTTCAAGGCCATCCACAGTTATATGGTGAGTTCTGAACCAGCCTATGACACATGAGATATTACATCAAAAATACACAGGGAGAGACAGAGGGAGGGGGGAGGGTAGGAGGGAGGGAGGGAGGAAAGGTGAAGGGGTGAAGACAGAGAGGAAGGGGGATGGGCACTAAACATTAAAAGGAAAAACACAGGGTGGGGAGGTCCCCCATACGAGCTGGTATATTCCCAGGAAGGACTGTCAAAAGCCATGTGAAAGACTAAGTGGGACCTTTAAAGACATCTAATGACTTCAGACCCTGGTGGGTTTTTCCCACTCTCGGGTCTCCCAGAGGCAGAGGTAGACTGCAGCAAGACCACTTTCTCTTTCTCGGTCACACCATGCACCGCCCTGTTGAAATCATTCACGCTGGCTTGAACGGCTCTCTCACCTCCTTTAGGCTTCTGTTTAGATACCACTGTATGCTCTGCAAACCACACGTAAAGTCAGTCATTTTCCACCATCTGCAGATTCCTCTCCAGCTTCCACTTCCTCTCATTACTTAGACTAGTGATCTAGTTCTTTTATCCATATAATTTCCATCTTCTTATATAAGACTAAATGATTTATCTCTTATTTAGCCTCTTTCTTATCTTCATCAGATAATAAGCACCTAGAAGGAAGAGACTTTTTTGTACCTTTCTTGATTAAAGATCCAAAAGTGTTACACTTTTAATGTTTCCATGGAAGCTGGTACATAGCTGATACTCAAAAGTATTTTTAAGGGCCAGCAAGATGGTTCAGCAGGTAAAGGCACTTGCCACATTTACACTGATGACCTGAGTTTAATCTATTGATCCCAAAGAGTAGGACAGAACTGAATCCTGCAAGTTGTCCTCTGACCTCTGTGCAAGTATGCCATGGCACACACGCCCATACACATGCACACACACATATAAATAAATGTAATATGTTTTCAACTTGTTTAAATAATTAAATGGTGGCAGAGTTATCTTGTCCTGCCTACTAATCCCACTACTCCTACCCTGCAAATGGTAGATGAGCTGACACACGGTAACGAGTCCTCCACGTGACCACTCAGTGTCTTCCTTCGTTTTGAACAGTCCTGAGAAGGCAGGTGATGATCAAGTGTCCTGGTGAACCTCAAGTGTCCTGGAGAACACACATAGAAGGTTGTTTCATCTGTCTGTTTCTCTAGGAATCACACACACACACACACACACACACACACACACACACACACACACACACTGCTTGCTATCTGTGGCACCATCCCTTAATGCATCAGGCATATTGATACAGTGATAATGGAAGAGAAAAAGCTATAAGATAAGAATGGAAAAGGGGAGCCTGGGATGAAGAATGCAGAGCATTGAGTCAAGTCAGTGAGATTCTGTGGGGACCAACTCGGTGCCTCTGTGCAGGAGATAGGGAATGAGGTGTAAGTGCATCCAGACCCCTCTGCCTGTACCATATGGGAGGCCAGCAATTTTCCCTGTCAATTACCACCATTCTCTGAGCCAGCAAAAATAAACAGACCAAAAGGGCAGGCTCCATATGAGCTTTCACCATGCACCTTGGCTCCCTCTCCAGCCCTTCCTCTAATGGAAAAGGAAAACAGAAAGGAAAATTTTCTTTCCTATGTTTAAGCATATGGGACTGTGAAAAAGACAGAGATTCAACAATATGATTGTAGGAGTTGGGTTTTCCATTTCTATTTTCTTCCTTTTATAAATTAAGCTTTGTAAAGTGTTTTTAAAAGGTCATAACTGACTCTCAATGAATTGAAAGCCATAATTATTTTGAAATGTGTGCTAGCACCTGGCCACCTATCTAGGGCTTTGATGTATGTTTGCAGAGATGTTCTAAGTAGGATGTACAGCCAGCAAGTGAAAGCGAGACCGACCACTGTCGTGCAGGGAAAGAGAAGGCCAAGTTTCCACGTCTATATTCACAAAACTTCTGTCACTCAGAAACTTGTCCCTGGATGTCTTTCATTAAAAATACATGCTCATGGAGCAAAAATCTGCTTTTAAAAGAACATTACTCTTGAAGCCTTTTTACTCTTAAAGACTGTCCTAGCAGCATGATTGTCTGGTTAGGAAATCCAGGGATGGGTATACAGAAAGCTGCTAGGAACGATGACGTAGCCAGACTCCAGGAAACCAGGCCCATGTCTACAACTAACTCAATGTCTATATAACAGCATTGCTGAAACATTTTCAATGCTGTTTCCAGAAGCAACAAAAACATGACCTTGTTAGGAGCAAATCTCATACATACCTGAAATCTCAAAAAATCGCAGAGGAAAAAAAAATCAACCAAATTTATATGAACAATGTGTAGAATGTGTTCATGGGCTTCAAGACATAATGTTATTGTAGAGTTTCCCCATGTTGATCTCTAGGTCCCCTAAAATCCGGATCAAATTCCTGGCAAGGTCTTTTGCAAAAACCAATAATCTAAGTCCAGCAGCAGGAAATGCAAAGGATCTAGAAACAGAAACAACTTTGAAAAAGAAGAACAAAGCTGGAGGCGCATTGCTCTCTGACTTGAATCTTTGTTAAAGCTGCCGTCAGGAGAGTGGGGTACCAGCATCCATAGAAACAGAGAGGCTGCTGGTACTCATGCTCTGTGTGTGTGTGTGTGTGTGTGTGTGTTATATGTGTGGGTGTGTGTTATATATGTGGGTGTGTGTATGTGAGTATGGGGTGTGTGCATGTGTGTGTGGTGTATATGTGAGTGCACACATGTGTGGTATGTGCGTATCTAGGTACGTATATGTATGTATATATGTACATACATATAAATGATCATATATGTATGTGAATGATTTTTAACAAAAGACCAAAAACAATTCATAGGACTTGTATGTTCATATGCAACAAAAGTAAATATGGATTCATACCTTCTACTGTTTTCAAAAACAGCTCAAAGCTGGGCCTGGTATCTCACATGAATTATCCTGACATTCAAGAGGTTGAGGCATGGACAGACTATGGATAGTGAAGAAAAGGAATGCATGTGTAGAATTGAGATACACAGTACCAGATGGAGACCCTGTCTCAAAAACAAAGCAAAACCAGAAAAGCTCAAACAGATCACAGATCCAAATGTCCACCTAAAAACTAGCAAAAATCTTAAAAAAAAAATCAAAAGGTCACCTCTGTGACCCTGAGTCAGATAAAGAACTCTTAGATACAGTAGCAAAGAAAGATTCACAAAAGTTAAAATATAACTTGGGTTTGAATAAGTTCAATTTCCCAATTCAAATCACCTAGCAAAAATTTAACCTTCTACTTTTGAAAAATATTGATTAGACAATGAAAAACACAAACCTGTGTCTCATAAAGGACTTGTGTTCCAAATACAAAACAGAATCTTAAAGCTTAATAAGAAAGCAAATGCCTGAATTAGCTTTTTAAAAATGGACAGTCTTTGAATAGACATCTCACCAAAGAAAATATACAGTTGACAAATGAGAGTGTAAACACCCTTAACGTCATGAAGATGTCAAGGTCAGTGAAGACGTCAAGGTCAGTAAAGGTGTCAAGGTCAGTGAAGGTGTCAAGGTCAGTGAAGATGTCAAGGTCAGTGAAGGTGTCAAGGTCAGTGAAGATGTCAAGGTCAGTGAAGATGTCAAGGTCAGTGAAGGCAAAAGCACTACACATATCACTATGTGCATATTGAGATGGGTCAAATTTAAAAGACTGACTGTATCATGCATCAGTGAAAACATCTGTGAGGTAACAAGGATATAAAATGGTCCAAACACTTTGGAAAACAATTCCTCATTTTCTTAAAAAGCAAAGCATCTTCAATACGGTTATTCTGACTCTAGGCATTTACCTAAAAGAAGTGAGACCATGTGTTCCTACAAAAGCTTGGACTAGAATGGTCAGTGTAGTTGCTATGTTCATGGCAGAATGTAACGGCCAAAAGCTAGAAACCACGTGAACATCTAAGAGCTGGACAGATAACCTCACCATGAGATAGTGATGGAGAGACACTGATATGTCTACATCATGAGTAAACCTAATAAAATGATTTTCAGTCAAAACAGAGGATGTGGATTCTACCTACACACAGCTCTAGAACATAAAATTAACCTGTAGGCAAAGGTTTCCCAGTGGTGGGAGACTCAGGAAAGGAGGGAGGGACCCCAACAGGGCAGAGAGAACCCCAGGAAGTACTGGCTACATCCGTGTGGTGATAGATTCATAAATAGATGTATGCCAAACTTCAGGAAATGACACACTTTAAGGATGTGTAACTCACTTTATATTGATTATACCTCCATAAAACTATCTTCTTGGCCAGGCGGTGGTGGCACACACCTTTAATCCCAGTACTTGGGAGGCAGAGGCAGGCAGATCTTTGTGAGTTCGAGGCCAGCCTGGTCTATAGAGCAAGATCCAGGAAAGGCACAAAGCTACACAGAGAAACCCTGTCTCGAAAAACCAAAAAAAAAAAAAAAAACTATCTTCTTACTTCAAAATGCAAACAATAAAAATGATCTACTAAGACAACACTATAACCCTGAGATGTCCCCTCTTATATCTTAACAACTATAGGGAAGTAACACAGGTAATAAGGACAAACTTTTTAATTTTTCTAAAACTGACTCTGCTGAATACTTACCAAACAGCCCATGGTTCTAATAAGGAATTTACAGTAGCTTGCACACTGAATCCACCCAGGGATGTCTCCTTTTTAACCAAAAGTATTTCTAAACCTAGGGTAGAATAAATATTTGCCTCAGTTATGTTTCCTCACAATGTGCATCCCGTGGCCTTTTATCTCTCTTCTCTCTCTACTCAGAGCTCAGAAAACAGACTAAATCACTACCAAAAACAAAAGGACAATTTACTGTGTTTCCCATTGCTCACATCAATCTCTCCATACTTCCCGAAGACCAGGAATCCAGTCGCCCTTGATGTCTCTCAGCTTGGTGCCTGGATACAGAGTCAGGACCCTGGCCTGGGCAGAAGAGGGCTCATCTTGATGCTCTGTCAGCTTGTAAACCACTTCATATTCCCAGTGAAGGAGTTCTTGGGTTTGAATAAGTTCAGTTCCCCAGTGCAGATCGATTAGCAAGTACCACTTCTCAGCAATGCATTGAGACTACAATGGGAAAATCAAACAGTGAACTCTTCATATCTTCCAAGTAGACTTAAGACTCTCGAAGCTTGCTAATACATAATGCTTTCTACCACATAGGTGCCCGGTACTAATGATTGACCAGTGTAGCCATGAGAGGGCAAAGCCTCAAGGGTATGGAATCCCTCTGAACTCTTTTTGTGGAGAAGGTAAGGGATGTGGGGCAGAGCCATGTTTCTAGAGAGAAATCCTCAATCAGCCAGCAGAGCCTGTGTCGAGCCCTGCTTCCTGTCAGAGAGCATTCAACTCACGGGAGGACTGAAGAAGACTCCCACTGGGCAGTTAGAACTGGCAAGGCAGCCAGCCAACAGGCAGAATGTAGGCGGCTCTCAGCCACTCTCAGCTCTGTACAGAGGAATGAGAGGAAACTGTGACCCAAAACTGACACTTCCTCAGAGCATCACCCAGTGTTTCCAGCAGAGAACACAGCCCAGTGATAATGGAGCTTTGAAGCGTCTGGCCAGAGGCCAGTAGACATTGGAAGTGTTCTTTGGAGAATATCTGCTTTAGAGAATATCTGCTTTAGATTACTCCCTGTGTGGAGGAAGCCACACATACTGACTTTAGCCTTTCTCTCCTGCCTTCAGAATGCAGGGGCTTCAGGTTGACTGACCTCAATCCTGCTCTTTTGGCTTAGACCTAAATGTCAGGGGTAGTGAGCCTGGGGGTTTTTGTTGAGTTTTCTCCCTCTGGTACTGTGTATCACAACTCTACTATGTGCATTCCTTTTCTTCATTGTCTCATTGCAATGTTTTATTCCTGCTTTCCACAGCCCTGGAATGTTCTATTTCTCTTCTATGGATGTTTATTCTAAAGATACAATGGAAGCCTAGGTCTACCTGATAATTAAATGACATTCTAAACTGCCTAACTACAAGCCCGCTCATTAAAAATAACTAGTTAGTTTTCTGTTGCTGTGATGAAACATCATGACCAAGACAACTTATGGAAGGAAGAATTTATGGGGGCTTATGGTTCCAGAGGGTTGGAGTCCATCATGGCAGAGAGACACGGCAGCAGGAACAGGAAGCTGAGAGCTCACACCTTCTAGTGAAAGTATGAAGGGAGAGAGCAAGCAAGAAGTGGAGTGAGACTCTAAATCCTCAAAGCCTGCCCCTAGTGACATACTTCCTTCAACAAGGAACCTTAAACCTCCCCAAACAGCACCACCAACTGGGGACCAAGTGTTGAAATGCCCAAGACTACAGAGGACATTTCTAGTTCAAACCACCCACCACTCTGGTTGAATTATAGGTCGAATGATATGCCACCCAAAATACTGAAGCATCTTTCTCATCTCTCTAAAGTCAAAACTCATTCAATAATAGATTCTACCACTCACACATAGACTGCTCAAATTCATGTTCTTGTCAATATTTTTACCAACATGTCCAAATATATGTGTGCTTGATTGTCCCTCTTTGTGAAGGGAGATTAGCTGGTGAATGTCACTTAGGAACTAAATCTTTGCCACTCAAAGTGATGCCCTCGGACCAGCCCTTGCCATCACCTGACAGGCCATTAAGAAGATGATCGGGCCTCAGCATAGAACAACAGAATCCAAATTTCATCATAACAAGATCATCAGTGAGCCCTGTGCCTATTTAAAGTTTATAAGGACTCTTTTAAATAGTTATCAGCCCCTTGGAGGGAAAAGGAAAATCAAGAGTTGCAACATGCTAACTGACAAAATTCCACAAAGGAGCTTGAGCCAGTGCACTGCCTAGTGCTTTCCAGTGGTTGGCTCTGCGTCCATGAGTCCCCACTGGACCTTCACCCCACAGAGCTAAGAATGATGTTTGGCTAGATGAACTGGGCTCACTTATTCAAACATCAAAGGTGCTGATCAATCAGCGGAGGCTTCTGTCAAACCTTTCTAGGCTAGAAAATAGGTTGGGCAATATTAAGGAATTTGGGTTGATCATGAACTAAAAGGTCATTCTTGGCTCCGTTTGAATGTGGATGTCAGGAAAACAACCTGCTGCATGGTGACCAGCATTGCCCTCAAGAGAGCTCATCCTGAAGGCCGTGCAGAGATGAGGCCGAACCCCAGGACTGACAGGGTTGTTCAATGGGGCTGTGAGCATGCGGAATCTCACATCTGGAAACAAGCATAAAGTCACAGTGTTCTGCTCCCAAATTCACCCAATACTTAGCAGCTGATAATGAAGACTTTGCCTTTTCTGGCTCCTAAATATTCTAGTCGGCACGTGGAGGGTATCACATGCCCAGACTCAACAGAGTGTGGACAGAAAATATTAACAGGAAAAAGTGCATCTCTACTGGACTTTCTCCCTTGTCCCTCTTCCCTAGTTCATGTGGTGTAACTATTTACACATTTCTAATACTGAGCATTACAGGAGAGGCTTTGAAGTACTGAAGATATTCAGGCCACGTGCAAATACAATTCCATGTCACATAATGGACTTGAGCATTCAAAACTTCTGGTACTCTTGAAGAGTCCTGGAGTCAATCCCCATAGACACTGAGTCACAACTTGCCTGACTTCTGGATGTCCACTGCCATGTAGGGGTGAAGGGCAACAAAGAGACAAGAGAGGCACCCTGGAATGTAGCGCCTGGCCCTGTCTGTGGTGATCAGCACACCTCAGACCAGCCACTAACCTTTCAATCGGCCACATGAGCTCACCGCTCTCCCTTCTCTACGCTCAGTCTGGTTCTTGATTTCTGTGTTAATATTCTACCTGGCACGAGAGCTCTGTCCAGCCTCTTGCCCACCTGTTGGGAATCCTTCTTAGGACCTTGCCAGACTCCCTCTAAAAGCCACAACTCACCCTCTGGACCTCTTAGGATTATTTTCCAGATGGGCAGTGGACTACATTTAACATATACAGTATTAGACTGTAAGTATTACCACTGCTAGGAAGTCCCAGATGTTCTAGTGCACTTGAGAAATTATTCCATTTTCTTCTACTCTCTGTAAGCATCTAATACTGCTTATATGTGTTCTATTTGGTTCTTAGTCTTTAGTCAGAACGTATTGAAACAATGGGTTTCATTATGACATTTTCATACATGTGCACCACGCACTCTGCTCATTTTCACTCATTCCTCTTGCTTGTCCTCCTACCCTCTGACCCCCACACCCCCAGAAAGCCCCACTTCGACTTTGACACACACAAATATCGACAGATACATAAGATAGGTAGGTAGGTGGCTAATAGACAAGGAGCCCACATAAGAGAAAAAATGTGGTATTTTCCTTAGGCAGACTTATTAATTTAACATGGTGATTCCAGTCCCATCCATTTTTCTGAAGATGACATAATTTTGTACCTCTCTATGCCTGTAACAAAACTCCTCCATGTTTTGGCCACACGAAAGTATGTGTGGCACATACTTTTCATCTTAGCACTCCGGAGGCTGAAGCGGGAAGATGCATCATCTAGTGATTGATTTCTAGAGGAGCCAGGACTATATGAGACCCGTGAATGCAATGACAAGTGTACAGAAGACATTAAAGAAGCCCTGGGGACTTCCTGGCCACTGCTTGACAGTTCCTGTGCCGGTTGCCCCCAACCTATGAGGTGTCTACAAACTAATGGGGAAAAGAGATAAACGAAGGCCAGCTGTAGTTTTTTGTAGGATGAACACAATAACAGATACAGGGGGCCCTGGGAAATAACTCAGTCAGTGAAGTCCTTGCTTTGCAAGCACGAGAACTTGAATTCCGCCTCCCAGAAACCATGTAATAATAATAATAATAATAATAATAATAATAATAATAATAATAAAGAAAACTGAGCCTGGTGGCACACATGGCAATCCCAAAGCTGGGGAGACCGAGACAGACAGACTGACTCCTGGGTTTACTTTGTACTAAGCCTAGCCTAGTCACAAGTTCAATGCCAATGAGAGACCCAAGGCAAAGACAGTGACTGAGGCGACGGCTCAGTCAAGTGCTTGCTGAACAAGTACCTGATCCCCAGCATCCTTGTGAAAAGCAGAGTACCAAGGCACATGACTATAATCCCAGCACTGGAAGGATCAGGCATAGAAACAAAAGTATCCAGAAGGATCCCGGGGACTGGCTAGCCAGATAGTCTGCCCAAATCAGTGAGCTCTGGGATCAACAAGAGATCCTGCCTCAAAAATACAAGGTGGAAAGTGATGGAGGAAAGACATCCAAGAGTGACTTCTGCCCTCCACACTCACGCACACACACATGAACACTTATGCATACAAATAACAGATATGGGTACTGTATGCAGATGAGCCCAACAGATTACAGAAATCAATTTAGACAGAAAGACTTCAAGAAAGCGTCACACATGAAAATACTTCCATTGACCAGTTTAGGGCTCATGAGCTGCAATCCAGACTGAGGAGACAAGATTTAGGAAAACACCAGGAGTGAGAAAGCAAGACATTCCAGAAAGCAAAAGTACCCTGAAGAGCCTAATGCTGGCAGAGGACTTGTAGCAGAGTACTGAAAGGCTGAGTAGCTCTGGTATACAGGGACAAGGTTCCAGATGGTTCTGTGTATTCTACTGAAAAGATTACTCTTGACCTGTCAAACATTAGTTTGTTTGATCAGCAGTAAATAAACCCATCACCTTATGAAAATCGCACTGGTCAGAGGGTGACTAGGAAAAGCAAGATTAGTCAGAAGATAATTGCAGCCATCAAGAGGAACATACAAGCCCTGACCTGCATATAGAAGGCGGGAAAGGGGGCCAATGAGATGGCTTGGCGGGTAACGGCCATTGCCACCAAGCCTAATGACCTGAGTTTTAGACCTGAGAAGCCCTCTAGCCTCCATACAGGTGCTGTAAGAAAGAGAGAGGAATGGAAGGCTAGAGATGTGCTGAGGAAATGGAGTCAGGAGTGCCAAGCAGACAATTGCCTACGGCAGTGGGAGAGGAGAAGAAAAGAATTGGCTCTGCCCCGCCTGAATCTGGCCTCTGGCTGTGTGGACATGCACACATAACATGAGGCAGCACA